ATTAATAAAAACAAACATTTAAAAAAACTGGTTTTAAAAAGAAATTTAAATTCCCTTAAGGTCTTTCTGTAATATATAGAAGTATTAACATTTTAAATCTTAACTGAAAAACTTGTTTCTAAGATGGTACCTCTAATTTCATGCGGTCACCTTTAGTCAAGATGGCGGTTTAAGTATCCTTTTTTGAACTTCAGCAAAATGGCTACCAGTCAGCCATGTAACAAAACTTAGGTTATGTCAGGCAACAGAACATTTTAAAACAAGTATACATAATTTACTTGAGAAATAAACAGGACTTTTAAAACTGAATTAACTTGATATGGTTAAAATTTTAACTTATATTACCAATTTTAAAAATTTACTATTTGTAGACATGAGAAACTATAACAGTTTACAGTTTACATTTTTCTGACTTGTAACAACCTTTTCTCTGACCTTTTACGACTTGCTTTAACCCTCTATAACTTTTTGTAACAAACTTTTCTCTGCCTCTGACCTTCTACGACTTGTTTTAACTCTCTATAACCTTTTAGTTTATTTCTCTTACTTTCTTAGACATTCTTAGACAAATTTCCTTTTTTTTCTTTTCTTCTTTATTACTTAAGTATCCTCCTTTTTTTTTCATTTCTCAGTCAACATAAAAATTTTATCAAAGTCCCTTTTACAGTTCTTAATAACTTTAAGGCATTTTTTTTTTTTTTTTTAAGACGTCCGGATCAGTCCAGATAAGTTCATACGCTCCAGCTCCTTGTGCTCAAGGCAGAGCGACCTGGGGTGGGGGTGCTGCTGGTAAACCCAGACCCTTGGCCAATCCAGGGGTGGGAAAAAGACTCCTGCGGCCCCCCTGTATACCATGTGTGTAGAGCACAAAGAATGCTGGGCAGCTAGGCAAATAAATGGCAGGGACCCACGGGACCGGCAAGTGGGGATAGGGAAAGACTCACCTACATGGGCCAGGCTCAGCTGTAAGGGCTGCAGCAGTGGGTCGAGTTCAGAAAAGCAGCCTCGGGGGACTCCAACATAACACATTCTAACCTGTGACACATGGCAGAACTCCTTTCCCGTGCCATGTGCTTAGGGCAACAAGAAAAGACCCTGTGACCCATGCATGCCACAAATATGAGACATGGAGACATTAGACAAGACAAACATTAGACAGGACAAACCGCGGCAAAGAAATGGTGCCCCAAACCAAAATTACAAACAACCAAACCCTTTGACTTTCATCCAGGGTGGAACCAAGGTTCTCGCAAGGCTGCTTACCCTATGGTTCAATTACAAATTCTGCGCAGATCAAATACAAATTACAAATTCTGCGCAGATCAAATCAAGCAACCCTCGGACTTT